GCAACAGCCAGATCTAGGGAAAGAGGTACAGGAGCCCCTACCTTGACCAGTCCAACCAAAAGGCATCTACTGTCAGGGTCTCATAATTGGGGAACAGTGCCATGCAGAAAAAAAGGGGCCAAGACCACGCTAACATGAAGAGATCCATGTCTGGGTGTCCGAACATTCGGTAAAGCCACAGGAAGGAGGCGGCATTGAAGGTCCACTAAGAGGAAATGGAAGATAATGCTAGGGAACCGATCCCCTGAAAAGCCGAAAGAGGAAACTGACAGCCAGTTGTGTCCGCACCCAATGATTGTGACAGGTGAAAGGGCTGCCCTTGGAGAAACCAGAACAGTCTCCAAAACCAAACCTTGCCCAAGAGATACAAAAAGGACAGCAAAGTCGAGGCTCCCACGCAGCTACTCAAACAACTACTGAATCACCATGGGTTGACTCAACACCAACAGATGGCAACACTACAGCTGTGTTAAGGCTGCTGGAGGCATGGAAAGCGACAATGACCGAGTCCTAAATAAGGCCCAGCCAAGTCAGAACCCGGGACAGAACCAACTGGGACTTCCACAAACTCCACAAGAACTCCAACATGATGAGCCTGGGAGAATCAGAAGCCTGGCTAGCAGGCATGCACATCAGCTGAGCGGCCAGATACGAAAAGAAGTACAACAAACTGAATATGGCCTCAAACATGTATGGAGCCAGAGAAAAACCCTGAAAGCTGCAAGCTTGCTGCCCCAAGGAGCAAAAACACTGTAATCAAAATCATAATTTTTATTCAAAAGAATGTGTTTACAAAGAACATAAGAGAAAGGGACAATTGTAGAAACAGGTGTTACATATTAATGAGGCCACTATTACACAAAGCATTTTGGGCACAGTTTGGAAAAAACTTATAGCCAAAAAAGTTAAAAACTAATTGAGATAAAAACAATAATGAATTGAAGCAGAGAGATAGAAATGTATATTTAGTATATTATATTTATGACAAGAATTCGGGCTGCCAGAACACTGGTCGACCTCCAAAACTTCCGCACACTAAGGTCATCCCAGGATAGATTTACCAAGATAGCTGAAAGAACTGTACATGTATATTAGTTTATGGTGCTGAAAATTCAACTTGTTATCGATGAGAACACCACGGAATTTACCCTAGGAACAAGGAACAGGCCAAAATGCATCTTAGATGTTCCAGAGAGAGAACACCCATATGACTGCCATGAGGACGAGATGAACATACGATAGAAAGGGCAAGCAGAACAAAGAGCATACCAAGGCATCCTGAAAGGCTGAGGAGGAACAGGAAGTCCCACAAGCAAGAAAACCCCAATAGAGGTGAGAAGAAAAGGCTTGCTGGGAAGATCCAAACCCCAGAAGTGGGAGGGAACAACCAACTGCCCCATAAAATGTGGGAAAGAACCAAATAGCCCACCAAATGCAGCCCAAGAGTAAAAAACAGGAGAGTTCCCAATCCCTCCTCCCCCACACAGCCCGACAATGGCAAAGGGCCAGTGGAACCCTGAGCAGCTGACACCAACCAAGTGGGGTGAGCATGAAGCTAAACCGCTGGAAATGGACTGGCTGAAGGAAGCACAAAGGACTCTGAATCCTGGTTCACAGAAGGCCTACCTCAACCTACAGCAGCCTAATGACCCTGACCACCACCAGACCCCGGGAAAACACAAATGTTGAAATGGCCAATAGGCGAAAGTCACCAAATGGGGTGGCAGAGGCAGACAGGAGAGCATAGAGAGTATATGGCAACACCAAAGCTCAAGAACAGGCAAAAACTTCCTGCAGAAACATGAGGCAGGCGGCTACCCCAACCGTGGCACAGGGTTAAAGAGTTTGAAACCATAGCTGAAGCCACCACAGCAGAGGCCAAGAAGACCTCTGCACATGGCCCCCCTCCCAGCTAAGTGCCCACTCAGCTCCCAGACGCCAAACATGAAAGCCCCAGGATTCCCAAGAATGCATAACAGACCCCAAAGCAGCTGACCTAAAGGGAAACTGCCATGGGCACTGCCCAGTAAAAAGGGGACCCAGGTATGGAGTCGCACAAGACACATAACCCGAGAAATCGCAGGGAAAAAGCAAACAAGGATGAGTGTGAAAGAAAAGCCCCCCCACCATACAACTGGAACAGGTGGTCCAGCCTTTGTCTGGAACAGACAAAGGCCGCACCAACCCCAAGCGAGAACAAGGAGAGTCTGCTAGCCAAGAAGACACAGGAGTCTCGGAACGCTGCCTACATGTGAGTACAGGGAGATGATGACCCCAAGTACAAAGGAAGCAGGGCCAAACCATGAGGGGGGGAAACCAGGTCATGGAGGAGGAACAGAAACACACCTCATGATCTGCCGTAGAGGGGATTCAAGAGGCAAGAACCTACAGAAGGACCAAACCAACAGGGCCAAAGCCATGCAGAAATGAACCCTGGGGGGATAGCCATACCCCAAGCACATGCATGCATGCAGGGAGGGGGGCAGCCACACCCCAAGCACATGCATGCAGGGGGGAGGGGGGTGGCAGCCACACCTCAAGCACACGCATGCAGGGAGGAGGGGCAGCCACACCCCAAGCAGTGAAGAAGGGGAAAACCGAAGTCTAGGCGACTAACGCCCCCAAGTCCAGGTCCCTATAACCAAAGCGGAGCAGCCTCAGGGAATCTGGAAAAGCAACCAACCTAGTGCATTGCAGCAACCTAACCCTCGCATGCAATGCTGAAGCTGCCTGCACCCGAATATCAATAGCAGTGGACTGGGTGTACTGGAGTACAAGCAAGGAACACCACTCGCAGGAATCCGGGTTAAAGATGTCATTGACCCAACAGGCAGCTTGGCAGAGGCAAAACTGGTAAGTGTCACCCTGAGACAAGGGAACAAATTACCTTCAAACTCGCACGAAGCGAAATACGACTCGGAGGACACATCCACTGGACCAATGAGCCCCAATGGGGGTCTCCAGGGCCCTTACGCTGACTGCTAAGGAAAGCCTAGGCAAGGTACTGCTAACCGGTGTTATGATCTCAGCCTGCAGGAGAAACGAGTCTCCCTCCTTGAGAGTTATTCATCAAGCCTGACCTGATTAGAAGGTCTAGCAAATATTGAGGTGATAACACATATGTGAAATAGTTGCTTGGATATGTATAACAATTTGAGATTATGGGCAATGAAGAAGAAAACAGATAAATGACTGGTTAGGAGATGTGGACATTTTGCTGGAGGCGTGAGGCTCGCTTCTGGAGGGGCTTTGACCTCACTTGAGTGCCAGACATCGCAGGGGAAAGCCGCGCTCCGTTGAGCTCCCGTCAGAAGGGAACCCCTAGTGATATATCTCCAAGAGAAGAGAAGTGTGTAGACGTGCCAGCTGTGGAACTGAGCTGGGAACGTTGTGGTCTCAAGTCCTGGTCGACGAAGTGTTTATTAAACCGCCCAGAGGCATTATTGTGGGCCGTGGCAGCGCCCTGACCAAGCTTCGTCAGAGGGAGGAGCGCCCTCGACCAGACAATCTGTGGTAAGCACGCTATACGTCAGTTCATAGTGATTGCTTGTAGTTGGTCGTGTGCCCAGCGACAGTAGCAATGTTTATTGATAAGTTAGACATGTTTTAATAAGGCAGAAGGCCTGAAATAAGAGAGTGGAGAGGGAGGAACACGGAGCGACGTCCATCCCCTCTGAGCGCTGGCAGGCAACTGAGGGAGCCCGGCTCCTGACGGTGGAAGACCCTCCCAGCGTGAGTGAGGACCGCCGCCAGGCGAGGTGGAGTATGGACCCGCCCAAAAATGGGGGAGTCCACTCTCACTGTATGTAGAGGACAGATAGAGGTTTGAGGCAAACATATTGTGTGATTATTTTTGTTTATGTGTTAAAGGGGACACATTTTATTGGAGTGTCGATGGGTTGCAGGTTTGTCTTTGGGGAAGAAGTTACTGAGAACTTCGAAGCCAGCACAGATGAAGTAGTTGATGAGACTCCAAGGTAGTGGAGCAGAGGACCTCGAGCTGTGAGAAGCAGTGAAGAGGAGTGTCACGTGCTTCTGTAGAGGTGGTGAAGCACCATAGTTGCTCGAGGTAACTTCATGGTATAGCAGCCAAGAGAGCTGTGGAGGACCCTAGCAGAAGGACGAAGCACCGTAGTTGCTCAAAGAAACTTCATGGTAGCAGCCTGGAGGAGCTGCAGAGGATCCTGGTAGTTAAGCCCAGGAGAACCTAAAGATATCAGGGTAGTGAACTTCCAGAGGTGGAAGGGAAGTTCTGGTGGATTACTTGTAGGGAGTTGATAGTGTTTGGTTGTCATTAGCGTGCAAGACACAGTGAGAGGTGAGTGATTGTTGGTATTCTTATGTCAAGGAGTGTTTTATACTGAAGTTTAGAGTTACAGTCGTAGGCTGGATTACCTACAGATGTATGTGCTCTAGGACTGATAGGGTGATCGATTGATCATTGCGGTGTAGCAAGGAACATTTATGCTGATATATGTTATTGCATTCACATGCTGATTTTCTTTGTACACATTTATAGATACATATATATATATTTCTCTTATTGATAGTGCAACAGTGTATGTAGACTTGATCTACTTGAGGAGGTTGATAGTATCAGGTGGTGAATCAGAAGATAGGATACCGCTTGGTAAACTGATAATAGAGTTCTGATGGTGTTGGAGAGCAACCTGATTGTAATATTATAGAGTATAGGATAGAGTATAGAGTTGTATTGTGTATGTGCTTTGTCCAGTAAATGTATTCCAATTTGCTGGTGTTTGCCCTTGTCCTAGTGAGGCTTCCCATGAAATAGTACAGAAGAAGAGAGAGAGAGAGAGAAAGAACCAAGAACCACTGCTGTGGACAGGGTAGAAGGTAATACTAATAAGTCAAAAGGGGATTGAGGAGGTCATATCACCTAAGGAGAGAGTGGGGAGTCACAACGGCTCGAGTGGGTGTGTGCACGTGACAACGAGGCTAAGTGTTGGAGCCGCATCCCCTAAATGTGAGACGTTGAGCCCCTCTCCAAGAGCCAGAAACGCCAAGGGTGATCTCCTAGTGAGGTATAAGCACTCTACCGAGTTGTGGGTTGGGTTGTCCGTAAAGGAGGAACACGACGGCAACAACACCACCAACCAACACACTCTATAATACCGGTTATCCCAGAATTACGAAACAAACAAAATGCTGAACCTTTGCGACGTGTGCAATCATGGCCTCCTCGTGCCTCTCTGAGGGGGGGGCCAGGGTCTGGCTCGTGGTCCCCAGTAGGCTAAGAACTCCACCGATTGACTGTTGCCATGGTCTAATATATACACATCAACCCGGTATAGCTCCGAGGAGGTGAAGGGGCTCACACAGAAAAACACAAAACCCCCAAAACCCCACAACAGCCAACATTCAAAGAGAAATGGCAGCCGCCGTGTGATAGCTTATGCAGGCTATGCCAGCCACAGTGTGCCTCACCAGCCGATAAACACCCCCCACCCAGGGCAAGGCATAAAGCCAAAGACCCCCCTGTTTGATTCTAAGCGCGAGATAACCACAAGCAAGGAAGTCCTCTAACGGGGAGTGTTTCCCAAATGCCCTACCCAGGGAAGATAACCCTGACCATGCAAGGGCAGTACTCACGGAGCGCCTAGGGAATGTACTCACCTAATTGTGCTTGCAGGGGTTGAGCTCTAGCTCTTTGGTCCCGCCTCTCAACCGTCAATCAACAGGTGTACAGGTTCCTGAGCCTATTGGGCTCACATGTATCCTTAAACACATGCAACTTCGGTACCTAGGAACTCCAGGCCAACACACACACAAGTGCAGGAACAGCCATTTAAGGCAAGAATCCCAGAACAGGAAATTGAGGCCTGAGGCGATGTCCAACCACCAGCACCATAAGCCAAGAACTGGATGGTGGGTTGCTGGACTCACTTAAGCCGGCTCCCCTTGGGTATGGGGGGGGGTTAACGAACAGGGGCTAGGTGAATGAAGTGTTGCTTGTATGTTTTCTTCATGAGGAAGATCTTTTGCGCTTTTACGGATGTAGGTTGCATTTTTCAACCAGACAGTGGTCTGCTTTGTTTCACCTACCTTTCTGGGTGCCTTCCCTGGTAGATGGCAAGTATGATTACTTTAAATGTAAATTGTTTATAGGACATTGCTCCCTGTGCTTCTCTGAGAGGGGGCCAGGTTCTGGCGCTGGTCCCTGGTAGACAACAAGAACTCTGTGACTGATGACCCCAAATAGGATAGCACTATATCAGTGGGATAGCTTCAGGGAGCTGATGGGGCTCCCCACAAAAAAGAATAATGGTCTTGTGGGTGAAAGATTACAGACGGAAATATGTGCCCTATACATTATGTCATAGTGTGCTCTACCTCCCTGGAGCCACACAGCTGGGATGCTTAGTTGCCCCCGAGCATTCATAGTGAGCGGTTGTGTTGCATGTCTTGCTCTGGCACCTCACTGTGTTTTATTGCAGTTAATAGTGGTGTTGATGGTATGACATTGTTCTTATGGCACACACACACACAACAGAAATAAACAAAGAAACTATTGCTCAGATCATTGTTTTGAAGAAAGCAGCCACCAAGGTATGGAAGTATGTTAATCGTTGAGTGTAACTTAGTTGACATGATGAAGTACTGTGTACACTTCTGAGGGGAAAACATAGTTATACACCATCACAGAAACACTGGTCTGGTTGTCCCAGGAAGATGACTTCAAGGTCTGTAAACATTCTAATATGATTCTTGGAGAGTACTCTTCATGTTACAGCAAGGGTACACCTTTTAGAAGTCTTCTTGGGATGGCCAGAACGATTTTCTGTGGTGTATCGCCACTGTTTCCCCCTTGAAAGCGCACACAACACTCTTTCTCATGCTGACTTGGCTATACGCCAACAATTTACTTATTTCCTTACTTTGGTGACCTACTTCCTTTAAAGCAGTAGTTTCTATTTCTTCTCGTACGTGCTATAATAAGTGTCATACCACACGAACTGCTAATAAGTGCAAAAAACAACAGATGACCACAGAGTAAAATGCAGCACACAACTATTCATTATGACAGCCTGGAGACCACTGGCTCTGGTATTGTGGTCACTCCAGAGAATTAATGCCTATTGTAATGTCATGTAGCCATTGCATATGTCTGTCCAAAATATTTCAACCTCAAGACCATCATTCTTTTTCTGCCGTAAGTACGTGCCATCTCAAGTAAGGCGGCGCATACTATTGACGAGTACTACAGTATGACACAGTATCAGACACAGTAGCTTGAGGGAGTCACAAGGGGTAACCCTCCTCCCTAGAAAAGCATGTTACACAAATATGTCATCACTTGCCAACTCATGCCAAGACTAAGGAGGAATAAGGTCACTTTGAAGAAATATGCTTAAGATCCATATCGATGTCTATTTTACCACTGTAGCCATTATGTTCGATGCTCTCCAAGAACTTGATATAATCCTGAAAAAGGTTAGAAACTTGTTAATTTCTTATAATGAATGAGAGAATTCTTTATCAAGATGTTCATGAAAGTTTTTGATACTTCTGCATATACTGTACCAGATGTCAAATGAAGACACCTAATTATAGGACCATGGAAAAATGCAAGTAATGAAAAGCAAAACAAGAATTATGTCACATTACGAAAGACAAATATACAGTGTTGAATGTTTATGAAATTCCCCATTCTGGTAGGCCACTCTCTAGTTCTCAGGCACTACACAACAGGCACTACTCTGTTTGGTTTTTGTTGTTAGTTTCTTACCATGTGGGGGTTTGTTTTGTTATACCTACTTTTCTGGGTGCCTAACCCCGGTCGATGGCAGATAAGGAAAACCCCCAACCACAAGGGGGTTTTCCAGGGCCATTGCTCCCTGTAACCTCTCTGAAGGGGCCAGGTTCTGGCTTGTGGTCCCTGGTAAGTTCGAACTCCATAGCTAATGTCCTGGTCTAATATAGAACACATTAACCCGATAAGCTCCAGAGAGCCGTAGGGGCTCCCCACAGAAAAACTAAACAAAAATCAGACATCGAAATAATTAGATAATGATATTTTTGTGGCAACTCCTGCCTGACAGCTCGGGCGGAGCTGACCACCTCTGACAATTGCTCTGTCAACGCCTCAAATTTTCTAGACTTCCTCGCCCTATTGCAGCCAAAATATATCACCTATGATATTTTTTATATTTTTCCCCTGATCATGGAACACAAATGAACACTTTTATAAGAGGATTTCTTTTTTATTTCTTGCTCCTGGGCGTATTGTAGGCTATAATCACAAGAGCAGCCCAGGGGGTTAATGCAGATGATGAACATTACTGGTGCAAGAACTAAACCTTGTGGTACTCTGCTAATAACACTCCTCCAGTCAGACACACTGTCTCTGATTACTGCTCTCATCTGTCACAGTTAGAAAGTTTTTCAGCCATGTCAGAAGTCTCCCTGTCACCCTCTCCAGCATATTCCAGAAAAGAACATCCAGTCTCACACCCACACAACAGAAATATGTGGGTGTGAGCTGCCTTTGAGTAAGTACATTGTAAATAATTGTTTATGCTATTGACTAACATTTTGGTGGTGTTAAGTGCAACCTAGGTGAGTTGAGATGGTGTTCTTTGTCTAATATTTAGTGAGGCAATTTCTAGTAAGGACCATTGTACAGTGAGTGTATTTTCACACGTGTCAGTTTGATTGATTGATTGATGCAGATTAAGCCACCCAAAAGGTGGCACGGGCATGAATAGCCCGTAAGTGGTGGCCCTTTTGAGCCATTACCAGTATCAAGAGCTGATACTGGAGATCTGTGGAGGCGCGACTGCACCCTGCGTGACGGGAGATGTCTCCTTTGTGAATATGTTAAGATGAAGATGAAGCCACCCAAAAGGTAGCACGGGCATGAATAGCTCGTAAGTGGTGGCCCTTTTGAGCCATTACCAGTATCAAGAGCTGATACTGGAGATCTGTGGAGGCGCGACTGCACCCTGCGTGACGGGAGATGTCTCCCGTGGTCAGTTTGATGTACATGCAACTAGTTCCTAAGCATTCTTTTAAGTTCTAAATTATCCTTTTTTTATACAGCAGTGGTGTTAGGCAACCATTATTGCTAGAGATGTTCATATTAACAGAGTTAAGTTAGGTTGCATTACGTCACTTGGGTATCGAGTACCCAAATGTCTCACTTGGTCTCACTTGGGTACTATAGGAGGCCTGGTCGACGACCGGACTGCGGAGAAGCTAAGCCCCTCAAGGTAACCGTCGGCGAGAGACAGATACTATGTGTAGATTGGCTTATTACACCTCTTAAGTCCTTGAACTTTCAAGTGTTCTCTATATAAAACACTGAACTGCAATACTAATCCTGACCTCAAATGCTTCTTAGAAGGCTGCAACACGGCTCATAGACACAACATAAGATACAAGTATCTATTAGATATTCAGCCATAGCAGCAATGCCAGGTAAAGTAACGGTCCTAAATTGTGGAATGCCCTCCCAATGAAATCAGATTCTGTACATCTCTTAGTCATTTTAAAAGAGAAACAAAGAAATATCTAATTAACATCATGCAGCATCTCTCTCAAACAACTCTTCATTCATAGTAAGTTTGTGTTTGCTGTTATTGTGACTATTAACCCTTTAACTGCTCAACGCGCCTGCAGGCCCAGGCTTTGGGTGCGCAACGTGCCTCCGGGTGTTTTTATTTTTCACGTTCCATTCAAAACTCCCGCGGCTACATGGGGTTCACATCAGCTTCCTCAGGGCTCTTGTAAACAGACACCATCTTAAAAAAAAATCATGGTCCACATTGCTGGGTGTCAGAGCCTCAGTAGTGAGTGAGCAACCAAGGCTGGCGCTCGCAGCATGAGCGCACAGCACTGCTGTTCAGTGTGTGACCACAGCATCGCCTAATATTGTCAAAATATATATATAATCTGTTATATTTAGCCATGATAGTATTATAGAAGAGCCCGAGTGTGATAATGACTGGGTACAATGTTCAAATATCAGTGATTCAATGCTGTTCACGATGTTCACAGCGCTAGCCACAGCACCACAGCATTATTTCGTCCATCTAGGAATCTTCAAACTACTTTTTAGGTTCCTTTTCAAAATAAACCTGTGGTCAGTTATTCATTTACAGGTATTAGTGACCAGAATTGTGGTTATAATGAGCATTGTGCGTAGGAAGGAGGAATTTTGGTGAGGGAGGGCGGAAGGGAGAGAATTGAGGTAGCCTCACTGTGGCAGTAACTCTTGTTTTGCTCACCATACTAGCTTCGTGGTTCGCTATGGGGAACACACATGTACATGGGTATATACAGTGTGTGTGAATAGTGTAATAACAGCACCAGGGGTATGTTGTGAGGAGCTATTTTGGTGGGGGAGGTGACGTCGTAATCGTGGCGTCGTCTGCTGTGTGATTTGTCATGCAGTGTATGGTGGCCACTGTACTGTTTGGACACAATACCGGCTTACTTGCATAGTTCTGGTAAATAAAACATGTAGATAGGTATATATAACATGTGTAAATCGTGTAATAAATACAATAACAGTATGGTGGGAGGAGCAATGTTGGCGAATAAGATGTTGAGGGAGGGCCTGTCTGGGTGTGGCTGCTCACACTCGCGGTGTTCTGAGTGTGTTGATGGTGAATGTATATAGTGTGTGACAGTGTATAGTGTGTACATATGTTGTAAATATACATAAATGAACATGAAACATTGGTGTGAATAACTGTATGATTTGGAGGAGCAATGTTGGCGAGTAAGATGTTGGAGGAGTGAGAGAGGGCTGGCTGGGTGTGGCTGCTCACACTCGCGGTGTTCTAAATGTGTTGCTGGTGAATGTATATACTGTGTGACAGTGTATAGTCTGTAAATAGATTGTATATATATATATAAATTAGCATGATACATGGTAAATATGTGCAACATATGTGTACACAAGTGTCATGCACGTAACACAGTGTCCTCAGACAGTACGGATGTTTTACTGCCATAATATAGTGTACGTGTTCATTATACATAGGATTAGCACGTAAAAACAAATAAAATGTATTTGGAACCATGCGCAAAAATTGAACAAAAATATATTCGCGGCAACTCGCGCGCCCCGCCCCGGGAGCTTACAGCAAGGGCGAACGGGGAATGATGACGTCACGCGCCAACTTAGTTTGGCTGCTATGGGGTCCGTAAGTACAAGTTCAAAATTTTTTTGACATACCCATACTGGGGAAAGGGTTTTTGACACTTTAAAAAAACAAAAGAATTTTTTCAAGAGAATTTATTTCCTGTGCACTGGGGGGGGGGGGGGTCATATTTATAGGCCGCACAGTTAAAGGGTTAAGGAAGGGGTGAGAGAGGGGGGGGGGAACTGGGAGGGTGGAGAAGGGAGAAATGGTGGAAGGGAAGAAGTTTGGGGTGGGAAGAAGTTGGGGATATTTGGGGAAAGAAGTAGTGAGGGGAGGAGAGGGGGAATAAGGGAGGAGACGGGGAATAGGGAACGAGAGGGGAGGAGGGGAGACATCCCAAGTAATTTAAGTAAAATTATATTGTTATTATTATTATCATTATTATAAGGCTTAGTTGCTTTCAGGATGTAGTCTGGGAAGCTATTGATGATGCCCTCTGAGAATTTTTTTTTTAAATTCAAGAAAGATTATTTGTAAAATTTTGTCATCACCACTTCATAAGTTAGTTATATCAATATTATTACTGTATTTTGATTTTATAGATCACATACAGTAACAGACATTTTCAGTGAATCATACCTCGGGAAGTCTATTCTCACGAGCTCCTTGTGTAATAACTTCCATGTAAGTCAATGATGGCTTTCTGTCTTCTTCAAATGGAACGGCAAGTTGATAGCATCGAGCCTTAACAGACTCACCACTGGGAGTCTCCACATCCACTTCCAACACTTTATATATACCTTTATGCACACCTTCCTGCCTGTAAAAATGAAAAATTTTCTTTTAAAAAATTTCATGTTCCTTATTAAAATGAGAGGATTTTTAATATAAAATTTATGTTATCTATTGATTGTATAGTCAGTGGAGCATGTATTTATGGACTAAGGAATCCTTCAATTCCATACCCCAAAGGAAACTACTGTATTCCCGGGCATTTCTTGCCCGAAACACTATGTGTATTAGTGGCTTTAGGTATTGTTTGTTCTAGCTCTATCTATAAATCCAACAGTAATGTTTGTAACTCTGCATCTATGTACAGGGGTACCTCGGTTTAAGAGTTTAATCCGTTCCTAAAGACGGCTCGTATTCCGAAGCTAATTTCTCCATAAGAAATAATGGGAAATGAATTAATCCGTTCCTAACTACCCCCAAAAAACCCACATCAAACTAAATTTTTATACCTAATTCATCTAAATAAACCTACAAAACTATATTCAAGTTATTACTTACCTTGCTGTTGAATGCTGTAGGCGTATGGAAGATGGTGAGGAGGGGGGAGGAGGAGAGGAGTTACTGTTTGGAACGGAAGTCCCCTTCCATTATCACATCAGGCAGTGAGGACCTTTCTGGTGTGCACTCCCTGGCACGTTTTATCTGAGTTTTATCTGTATTTATCTCTTGTTTCTCCTCTATTGTCATCCTCACATGGGCTTTCTTGCCTTGATCCTTACCACTGGCTTTCTTGGGACCCATGGTGAGATATATAATAACAAATTGTATAGTCAAATGACCAAATATCCAACAAAACACTGAAAATCCGGGTGAAGAATTGATGTGGGATAGTCACTAGGCGCGAGACAATGGTAAACTGAGGGGCGGAGGGGTGACGATTGCCGTACCACCATGCGCTAGGTCAGCCTGAACGCATATCAACAAACTCGCGTTCCGAGGTAACCCTCGCCTTCCGAGACACATTTTCCGAGGAAATCCGGCTCGTATTCCAAGAAACTCGCATACAGGGACACTCGTATTCCGAGGTACCATTGTATGTACGTTTCCCTAAATAAAATATTATTATTATTATTATTATTATTATTATTATTATTATTATTATTACAGTATTATAAAATTCAGCATTGAATGAAATTACCTAAGCGTAGTTACAGGATGAGAACTACGCTCGTGGTGTCCCATCTCCCCAGCACTCTTTGTCATATAACTCTTTGAAATTACTGACGGTCTTGGCCTCCACCACCTTCTCACCTAACTTGTTCCAACTGTCTACCACTCTATTTACAAAAGTGAATTTTCGTATATTTCTCTGGCAGCTTTGTTTCGTTAGTTTAAATCTATGACCTCTTGTTCTTGAAGTTCCGGGTCTCAGGAATTCTTCCCTATCAATTTTATCGATTCCTGTTACTATTTTGAACGTAGTGATCATATCGCCTCATTTTCTTCTATCTTCTAGTTTTTGCATATTTAATACCTCTAACCTCTCCTCGTAGCTCTTGTCCTTCAGTCCTGGGAGCCACTTAGTGGCATGTCGTTGCACCTTTTCCAGTTGATGTGCTTCTTAGGATATGAGCACCATACAACCACTGCATATTCCAGCTTTGATCTAACAAAAGTCATGAACATTTTCTTTAGTATTTCTCCATCCATGTATTTAAAAGCAATTCTGAAGTTAGAAAGTGTAGCATAGGCTCCTCGCACAATGTTCTTAATGTGGTCCTCAGGTGACAGTTTTCTATCTAGAACCACCCCTAGATCCCTTTCTTTGTCAGAATTCTTTAAAGATTTTTCACGTAATTTATAGGTTGTGTGGGGTCTATGTTTTCCAATTCCACATTCCATAACATGGCATTTATTCACATTAAATTCCATTTGCCAAGTGTTGCTCCATATACTTATTTTGTCCAGGTCTTCTTGAAGAGCATGACAATCATCTAGGTTTCTTATTTTCCCTATTATCTTAGCATCATCAGCAAACATGTTCATATAATTCTGTATTCCCACTGGTAGATCGTTTATGTAGACAATGAACATTACCGGTGCAAGAACTGAACCCTGTGGTACTCCACTAGTGACATTCCTCCAATCCGATACCTTGCCTCTGATTACGGCCCTCATTTTTCTGTCAGTTAAGAAATTTTTTATCCATGTTAGAAGCTTACCTGTCACCCCTCCAATATGTTCCAGTTTCTAGAACAACCTCTTATAGGGAACTCTGTCGAAAGCCTTTTTTAGGTCCAGATAGATGCAGTCAACCCAACCATCTCTTTCCTGTAAAAACTCTGTGGCTCGATCATAAAAACTGAGTAAGTTCGTTACACAGGATCTTCCAGATCGAAAACCATACTGTCTGTCTGATATTATATCATTTTTCTCCAGTATTCTACCCATTTAATTTTAATAATTTTTTTCAATATTTTGACTATTACACTTGTCAATGATACAGGTCTATAATTGAGGGGGTCTTCCCTGCTTCCACTTTTGTAGATTGGAACTATGTTAGCCTTTTTTCACACATCAGCTACAACTCCTGTAAACAAGGATGCCTGAAAAATTAGCTGAAGTGGAATGCTGAGCTCTGGTGCACATTCTCTCAGAACCCATGGTGAAACTCCATCTGAACCAACTGCTTTGTTCTTACTTATCTTCTTGAGCATTTTTTCCACTTCGTCTCTAGACACCTCTATGTGCTCTATGTTGTTCTCTGGAATTCTTATTGTGTCTGGTTCCCTGAAGATTTCATTTTGTACAAACACACTTTGGAACTTTTCGTCTAATGCTTCACACATTTCCTTTTCATTTTCCGTGAATCTATTTCCCATTTTCAACCTCTGAATATTATCCTTTACCTGCATTTTGTTGTTTATGAATTTATAGAAAAGACCTGGTTCTGTTTTACATTTGTCTGCAATCCCTTTTTCAAAATTTCTTTCTGCCTCTCTCCTCACTGCCGTGTGGTTGTTTCTCGCATCTTTGTATCACTGATATGTTTGGGTGTTTGGCCTCTTCCTGTATTGATTCCAATTTTGTGTCTTTTGGTCTCTGGCCCTCTTGCAATTTCTGTTGAACCAATCCTGTTTCCTAGTTCTGCATGTCTGTTTTGGTATAAATTTTTTTGTGCCTTTATCATATATTTCACAAAATTTGACATACATCTCATTCACTTCCTTGCCTAGCAACAAGTCTGTCCAATTATACTCACTAAAAATTGTTCTAAGGTTGCCATAATGTCCTCTCCTGAAGTCAGGTTTTTCAACTGCTTCTACCTCCTTATTTTCTTCCAGATTATAATGCATTGCATACTTTATTCCCAAAAAGACATGGTCACTTTTACCCAAGGGAGGAAGGTACTGAATGTCAAATATTTCTTCCACCTTCCTGGTAAATATCAAATCTAGCATGGAGGGAACGTCCCCTTCCCTCATCCTCGTAGCTTGTTTAACATGTTGATACAAGAATGTTTCCAGGATGAGGTCTACAAATCTATAGGTCCAAAAATCTTCTGTTTTAGCTTCATATGCTTCCCAGTCTATGGATTTCAAGTTGAAGTCACAGACTATCAACAGTCGTGATCTATCGTTATCCGCTCTCGCTATAATCTCTCTCATTATTGTTATAAGACCTTCTCGTTTACTATCTAGCTCCTCCTTTGACCATGTGCTGCTTGGTGGTGGACTATATGCATTTATGATCATTAGTTTATCATCCTCATGGCAGATCTCTAGTGCTATTATGTCAACTTCTTGTGGATTGGCAGTCATTATTTCGTTCACCTTTAGGTGTTTTTTCACCAGCACAGCAACACCACCGCCTTTCCTAATTTTTCTGTCCCGTCTCCAAATTGAGTAGCCCCTTGGGAATATGACCTCATTTGAAATAACATCTTCAAGTTTTGTCTCCGTGAGTGCAACAATGTCTGGTGTCTGTAGCTGTATTACATCACTTATCTCCAGTATCTTTGATCACACTCCATCTATGTTGGTGTATGCAATCTTCAGGAACTTGTTCCCCCTCTCTCTAATGATTTTGTTGGTGTGCCTTTATGTACCACTTTACTAGTCTGCTTACCCCTAACATCTTGTAGAGAAAAGAATTGCTTTCTTCTTCATTCCTGCTCTTATTTAAACGTTTTGCCTCGGCGAGGTGTGTGGCATATAATAGACTCAACACATAAATATAAGACAAATTTCTCAACAAATGTAATGAACTGCCTCTTTTTGGTGGATTGCTCTTTGGCTTCCAGCTTGAAATCTTACAAACCTTCAGTACTACAACAGTATAGAATCACGAGCATCCCAGGAGGGGCCTGATGGCTGAGTGGACAGCGCTTGGGATTCGTAGTCCTAAGATTCCGGGTTCCATCTCCGGTGGAGGCAGAAACAAATGGTCAGTTTCTTTCACCCTGATGCTCCTGTTCACATCGCTTGAGGTTATCTTAAGATGATTTCGGGGCTTAGCGTCCCCGCGGCCAGGACCTGGGAGTTAGACAGCTGCCACGGGCTGCTTACTGGGGGATGTATAATAAAAAGGAGGCCCGATCGAGGACCGGGCCGCAGGGACACTAAGCCCCGAAATCATCTCAAGATAACTTCAAGAAGATCCCTCACACACACAAACACACACACACACACACACACACACACACACACACACACACACCAGGAACCACACCAGGATATTTACCAGGAAGGAGAAAGAGATATTTGACATTCAGTACCTTCCTCCCTTGGGTAAAAGTGACCATGTCTTTTTGGGAATAAAGTATGCAATGCGTTATAAGCTGGAAGAAAATAAGGAGGTTGAAGCAGTTGAAAAACCAGACTTCAGGAGAGGACATTATGGTGACCTTAGAAATTTTTTTAGTGAGTATAATTGGACAGACTTGATGCTAGGCAAGGAAGTGAATGAGATGTATGGCAAGTTTTGTGAAATATATGATAAAGGCACAAAAAAATTTATACCAAAACAGAGATGCAGAACTAGGAAACAGGATTGGTTCAATAGAAATTGCGAGAGGGCTAGAGACCG